TGAGTAACTTTTACTTGTAGTGGAGTAGATTTGACCATGAGTATCAATACTTTTACTCAAGTACTAGAGTTGAGTACTTTGTCCACCACTGTTGAAAAGGCAGAAGATTGTATTTATGGTTATCCCCGCCTGCCTTCAGTCTCTCACAGATACCATCAGCTGCTTTGTCAAGTTTTCTTTAAAAATTCTTAGTGTCGACTTCTCTCCTAGAGCTCTGAATCGGGGCTGTCGCTGTGTGGAACTGGACTGCTGGGATGGAGATGAAGGAGAACCGGTCGTTTATCACGGACACACACTCACCTCTAAAGTGCCCTTTGTAGAAGTTATTGAGACAATCAATGAGTATGCTTTCAAAGTAAGTCTTTTTGTTTGGAATGGGGGAATAGGGCGACGGTCGTGTCAGTAGGTGGGGGGCTCATTGTGTAACCACTGGGTTGCTGGTTCAAACCCCCATTCTGTCCGTCTCAGCTGTTGTGTTGTTTATTATGTTCTGTCTGCTTCTGAATGGGTGTTCTGAACTATAATGTCATTGTGCTCTGTACAATGACAATAAAGTTCTATTTCATCGTATCTTAACATATCTTATCTTATCTTCTCATCTCATCTCATCCTATCTGATCTCATCTTAAATCAGGGGTGCCCAACCTTTTTTGAACCAAGAGCTACTTTTGAAGTCGGCAGTTTGCAGAGAGCTACTTGTCCAGTCTCAGTATCAAAAAAACATAATTTTGTCTCCCTGCTCCTCATTTCTTTAAAGTAAATAAAACAGAATGTAATGTGTTGCTAGTTTTATTTAATTTAAAGTATTGTCAAACAAAACTATCTACTTAACCATATATTTACCTACAAAAAAATATAAAATCCTTACTTAACTCCTGACAGAGAAACAGAAAAGTGATACTCAAACAAAAAGGATCAATTTTTTACCTCCTTCATTAGTACTCAGTGTAACTTGTGAGCTATGAGGGCTGGAAACCTGCACACTGAGAACCACAGACTTAAATAACTTTGGAGCACGGGAACTTGTCTCCATTTATTCAAAGAACTCTCCTCTCTTCTCTCCATACAGGGGAGGAAAAACAAAACAAAAATCTAAGGTCAAAGCACACAATATAAAACTCTCTGTTTATACTATTCCAAAAAATGACTTACGATGGTGCAGATTCACAAATCTGAAACAACTATTTCAAAACTGAATCTGCAGCATATGGGATGGTGTCATCTGTAGGTGCTGGCCCTCACTGGTCCAGACTGCCGGCTCCAGACCATTCAAAGAGTTCC